AGAGAGAGAGAGAGAGAGAGAGAGAGAGAGAGAGAGAAAGAAAGAAAGAAAGAAAGAAAGAAAGAAAGAAAGAAAGAAAGAAAGAAAGAAAGAAAGAAAGAAAGGAGGAATAATTTATCTTCACCATCCTTTTAAAAGGATCCTAGAACCCTCCTTTTTCACTCATTCAAGAGACTGGTTTTTGGTCTTTAAACTTTTGTTATCTGTCTTTTTCTGATTTTCAATCATGTTGTACAGCTGCTATCATTCCACTGCTATCATTCTGGTATTGTTGTAAGGTGTTTTTGGAACATGCCATAGGGAAAGGTGCACAAAAATGCTTTTAAATAATGAGTCCATTTCTTAGTGAAAGATAAGAACTGATCCATAAAGAAAAAGTTTGTAAAACATTCAATATTGCTCTTATATTGTATTAACAGAATAAGCATTAATGATTATATTGAATTAACACAATTATATGGAGGAACCCAGCTAGGGTTGCACTTGGATCTACACTACAGGGACACACTCTGTGGCCCAAAGCTACCAGTGGTCCTACCAAGGCTTTAGACTAACCAATAAAGAGAGTATCTGCAGCTCAGGGTTGAACTATGGAGTTCTTAGTGCTCTCTGAGCTTGGTTGTTCTCTTGCAGACATTTCATTACCCAGCTTTACCCTAGTTGGGTAATGAAACATCTGCAGGCAGGCAACCAAGCTCAGAGAGCATCAAGAACTCCACTTTACATGAACTTTTCATAGGAAGGAAGGGGGAAATTATAAATGACAATGGAAATAATGTTTCATTAAATCCAATCAATTGATTTTCTGCCTGGCCATGCTCACTTTTTGGGCTTCCCGGATACCACTCAGAGTTCAGCTTTGTCCTTGGACCAAGAATGACAACAGCAAAATGTGCATCCATCCGTAATGCACATTTAAGCCAGGAGGAGGAATGCAGAAAAAGCTAAATGATGAATGAGTCTGAAGCACAGTAGCTGTCACTCTTATCTAAACAATAATCAGAAAAAGCAAACTTTCTAGCATTGTTTTCAGGCCAGACTAACCAGGTCAGGGATTTCATATTTCCTGTCAAACATAGGGGGGAATATCGGAATATGTCCCCTTTCCTCATCCATAGGGAAGTCTGATACTCCAGTTCTTGATCCCAAACTGAATTTTCACTAAAGATGTTATATTCCCAGTGGAAACCTTTAAAGCTTGTCCCTTGTACTCTTCAAGGGATCCCAAAGAACCGTTGGCCATCAAGTAGCTTAGGAACATGGATGCATAGCTCTCCAAGTATTTCCTATTTAGTGTTTAAACATAAGGCTTAAATGGTTAAGTTATTGTACTAGAACTGGAAGAAGCCATGGAAGATCAGCGAGTGGCTTTGTGCCAATCCTTCTCTCTCAGCCTAGCCAGACTCACAGAGTTCTCATGGGGGGAAAATGGTGGAGGGCATACTAAGTATGCTGCTTTGAGTTCCTGAAGCAAAGCAGGATATAAACCTAACAAATTAATAAAATATTCTTACTTCCCAACAGTCCCCCAAACTTATACTTTGGAGCTGAAGCCAGGGGTCCCCCTCAGCTGAATGAGAGGAAGACACCAAGCATGGCAGGTTGGTTTACAAATTTGGAAATAAGTAAAGCAGTATATGTTACTATACTTCAGGGACCCATAAATGTGGGGTCTCTCACTATGTAACTGCATCTCTTGCCTCTTATTTGCTTTGCTAAACTACATGCAGTTTTACTCTGACCAAAGCATTTACTTTCCAGTGGTGGGTCAATGAGAATAGCCAGAAGGAAAGTGCTTTTTCACAAAGCACATAGCTAACCTGTAGAATTAGCTTCTACAAATATTCATAATGGCTACCAACT